AATGTGTGCGTCTTTCTTTTTTTTTTAACCCCCTAAGGTGCAGGGCGGTCGGGAAGCGTATCGATGGGGAAAAGGCAGACTGACATAAACCTTTTAAAACAACAAAAACAATTTCGGTATTCTGATTATTGAAATTTAAAAGTGCTGTGTTGTTCTATCACACCCGCTTCACACCGGACCACTTACAGCTCCGGTGTTAACGCTATAAAATGAACGCTCTCTGTCGTGGCATCACCCATGAGGGATTTCTTTATTTAAATGGGTTCATTTTTCAGAGGGATACAAAGTGAGGGTATCCTGATTTTAGCTACTAGCAGGAGAACGGAGCTGCGCCAAGAAGCTAACAGAAGCTAACAAACACTGAATAGAAGAGCTGCCATCGATACAGTTGCAGCCAAGCATGATTTAATGTTACACAATACTGTTTTACCAAGTTGCTCAGAGTCTAAACTGGCATTGTTGTGCATTTAAGGTGTAAAGTTTACTTTTGACCAAACGCCCCCCAAAGGAATCCCAGCGCCCCCCTTTTGTAAAAAATTCCGCCTCTGAACGCCCCCCGGGGGTCGGTACCGCCCACGTTGAGAACCGCTAATCTAGGAGATGAAAAATGTAGTTTATGGTTTGCTGTTTTCTTAAATCTGGCAAACCTTTTTTTGTTGTTGTTTTAAATCTTAATTATTTCATTAACATGTTGATTGTTTAGGTTATTGTTTTTTTATCAGGTAAACAATAAAAAATAAAACAGTTTTTGCCATTGAAATGATGTTTTTCCCGGGGTCTGCCTCATCCTGACATTTTGGCCCCCATGCCAAAACGTTTGGACACCGCTGGCTTACAGTGCGCCATCCAGCAGAGGGCGCCGCTGCTCATCTTTAAGCAGAAACAAAGATGGCGGCGCCATCTCTGATCGGGAAAGAGAAACGGTCAGAGATGGTTTATGCAGTCAGCTGACACAAAATAATGTTAACATTTAATTTTTTTTTTAAATTCAGCAAATTCTGAAAACTTAAGTCCTTTTTGGAAAGACGGTTGTCCCTTTGAAATCACTGGATTTGAAGAAAATGGCTTCTTTACATTAACGTACTAATTGATGATATTGAGCAGGTTTCCTGTTTCCTGTCTAAAGTTAGAAAGACTTAAATAAATTTACATTCAGCAGAGCCACAACCAGCCGGGCGAAGTCTCCACTGGTTTCTGCTTTCAGCTCCTTCTCCAGATCCTTCTTATACACTGAAACCAGAGAACCAGCATCAGAACCAAACCGGGCCTGATTCCAGCAGGAAGGCCCAGAGACTCACTCTGCCTGTAGACGGCAGCCACTTCCTGCAGCGTCTTCCTGGAGCGGGAACACAGGATCTCCAGCAGCGTCTCCTCATCGGTGCCCAGACCCTGCAGACACACGACCGGATGAGAACCCAGATGGTGCGGGTGAACTCCCGACCGGACCTGGAGGCTCACCGCCATGGCCGCCTTCAGGCGCTGGGCCTCCAGCTGCTCTGGCAGCATCACCAGCTGCAGCAGCAGCTCCTCCAGCTCTCCAGACAGAACCTTCTTCAGAACGCCGCTCAGATCCTGCAGCGGCACAGAAACACCTGAAGGCTCTCAGCAGCTCCAGAACCAGGTCTCCAGAACCAGGTCCAGGTTCTGGCCCAGTTCTGGAGACCAGAACCAGGCCTCATTCTCCAGAGAGGAAGAAAAGTCCCAGAGCAATTAAAAAAAATAATGAAAAAAAATTATTAATAAGTAAATCAGTATTAAAAATAAATTACAGAAATAAATAAAACTAAAAAAATCAAATAAAATTTAAATATTAAAAATATTTCCATGTAAATAGAAACAGTAATAAAAAGGTTCATGTTAGTTAAAAAAATTTAAATAAAAAAAATATTGACATTAAAAAAGATAATTTTAAGTGTGTATAAGATAAGCTTAAATAAAACATCAGCAGGATCTGTAATTTTTTTTATTGAATTAGAATAATCAGAATGAAAGAAACTGATTGTTTTCATTTTATCCCGTAGGACTGTGTGTGTTTCCTGTCGTCTGCAGAGCTTCTGTCCTCAGCTTTAACGCTGCAGGGAGGAGCTGCGGCATCAGGACGGCCGTGATGAGCGAGGAGGCCACAGAGCGGGAAGGAGGCGGGTAAATACAGCTGGCTGTCGGCGCTCAGCTCCTTCTGCAAACACAGGTGTGTTCACGCATGTTTGGTCAGCAAACAAAGTTCAGGGATCAAAGTGCAGCAGCGACCCGGAGAGACATGTTGAGTAACAGGGAGGCTCCCTACTCCATCATCCATTCATCCATTCATTCATTCACACCTCTCTTCCTGGGCGTCGCACCGTGTGTTTTAACACTTTCCACTGTGAGATGGTTGATATTTTCACTTTTCATGCAGTTTTGCTCTAAAACTTGAATCCTCTCTTTGTTCTGAGCGTTCAGTGGAACTGATGTGAGCGCATGTATCAATGTAACTTTTATATGTCACACTCTGGCACTCCTGTTCCTCATGTATGGAACACAGAGAAGGCCAAAATGTGTGAAATTTCATGTCTTTTATATGTACAATATGTTCCTAACACACAGGCAACTGCATTCACAACTTAAAGTGAATGCAAACTGCCGTTTCATCCAATCAGCATCCAGTCCTTGGATGAAAAAAAACAATCACAAGCGGCGATTCAAAATACTCCAGGAAGTGACAGAAACAAAACAAAACATAATAAACTTAACCCTGTCATGGTGCCTCACTTAACCTGTCCCCCCTGCAGGGGGAGGTCTTGGCTTTCTGCTGTCTCCTTGCCAGGCTCTGCATTTACTCTGCTGGAATCTCCTACACCTCCATCTACTTCACAATGGCTTAATACTGAAAGATCATGCTTGAAGATGGAAAAAGTTTTATTAACAGTTCAGCAAAATTTACTCACAAGTGGGCACCTTTTGTGACATACATAAAATCTCTGTCTATGCATAGATTGATGTGACTGACTCATCATGTCATGTGACTAAAATTTACAAAATAAATGGGTAGAATGTTGTTGCCTTTTAGCTTCTCAATGCCGTCCGACCCTCTCTCCCCTGTTTTTTTTTTGTTTGTTTTTTTTTTTGTTAATGTATTCTTTTTTATGTATTTATACTTATTTTGTCTCGTTTTTGTTATGTCAGTACGGTGATTTATGTTCGCTACGGGGAAAGGGAAAAAATTAAAAATCGGAGAAGTCATGTAAGTTTTGCAAAATGTATGTAATATCAATGAATGTATGATCTCCTGATAAACAAATAAAAATAAAAAAACCTGTCATGGTAATGCATTCTACCGGACGATAAATTGTCCCAGAAGTTATTAAGATAAATGATAATATTGAGACCATTTTCTAGTAACGTAACGGAAATGGGATAATGATGCAAGAACACTTAAACTGGAACCAGAAGACATTTTAAATATTCAGAATAAATAAACAAAACAGCAGAAATAATAAAATTAATTATTAGTCTCTGTAAACAAAATTATTCTTCAAAAAAATGGTGATTTCAGACCAAAGAACCAGACTGAAAATCTTTATCATCCAGGTTTTGGTAGGAAGAGAAAAAAGAGAAATCGATAAATCAAGCAAATGGAAATTATTGAGCTTGTTTTAATTTATCGTGTGATTAATTGGTTTATTTAAGTTAAGCAGAACAAATACGTTTGCTTTGTGAATTTCAGGGAACGTTCCTGTATTTCTCTCGCTGCTATGTGATGTGATGCTTGGTTTACTTTCTTCCCCTGAACGTTCGGGAACTTTCCCGCTCCACTTCCTGTCTGTGTACCTGCTTGGTTTGGTCCTGGAAGCTCTGGGCGACGGCTTGTCTCTGGGCGTTGTTGCGGTTGGTCAGGATCCTCACCAGCGCCGCCGCGTCTGAACAAAGTCCACAAACATCAGCCTCCCGGTTCGGAGCGGGTCAGGGGAACCTCACTCCAACCCGCCCCGTACCTTTCCTCTCCAGCGCCGCCTGGATGTCCGCCGCGTCTCGGTCCGGGTGGAAGTTGGGGAAGGGTCGGATGGTGCCGAGCGTCCCCCACCACATGTCCTGAGGAGACACACAGCTTAACATCGTCCTACGTCGGATCAGAGACGGGTTCTGGTGTTACTCACTGAGGAGAAGTTTTCATCCATGGCTCAGCTTGAACAGAACCAGAAGCAGAACCTTTAATTCTCTGAAGCCTCAGCTCCTGTCCTGAGTGTGTCCTCCCACCTGAAACTGGACGTCTTTCTGCCGTCCGGGATCCGAGACACACCTGCTGCAGGAACTCCTGACCAATCACAGCTCAGCTTTCTGTGAGCGTCAGCAGCTCATTGGTTCATGTGAGGACTCCCGGCTGGAAAACGATCCGCTCCGGGATGAACAGGAATCCTGACGGGCCGGTTCTGAGCAGGAAGTGATGCTGCCGTTAGCTGCAGATGTCCCTGGATAACGAAGACCTGATTTGGAGCCGTCCGCCTGCATGCTGCTCATGTCTCAGCAGGTCAAACATTCACAGCCTCCATGTTTCCCCATTCAGATCTAAAACCTGCAGCAGAGGAACACGATCCGGTGTTTTGACTGCAAACAGCCGAGCCGCTGCAGCTTTCTGTTTTCAAACAGCTTGCAGCTGAGCTTAGAGGAAACTCTACATTGTAGACCACTTTCTACAATTTGTTTCATCAGGCTCCTTCTGCAGAGCGTATGTAAAGTTCCCAGGACTTACAGGCTTATTTCCTATGTTACCTTCCGGATCTTGGTTATTTTTAAAACCTTGCAGGTTCCTGAAAAGTGCAGATTGCTTTTCTGAATCTGCACATCCAGGTTACTTTCTTTGAACCAACAGGAAACTTCCAGCAGGTGAATGTGACCCAAAGCAGATTTTTTGGCCATATGCGAGCTAGGGCTGTGTAATAATATCGATTTTGCAATATATATCGATATTTTCTTTCCTAGAAAAAAATCGATATTCTTCCGCAAGTATCGTACCATCCAACTGTCACCTTGCTCACTCACTGCTTGCTTCGCCGGGAGAGGCTTAGAGTGATTCCTTCAGATGTTAAGTGTCAAGGTTAAAAAGGTATCAAACTATTCAGAGCAGGTACTTGGTGCACTTTATTTACTTTACAAATGCATGTAAGCTACAGTTTGTACTGTTTCAATTAAAAGAAACATGTTTTCTCACCACTTCTTTGATTCATTTTGTCCAGCTGTTGACTTTAAGTCTGTGTCCATGTCCCACCAGAGTCAGGCATTGTGTAGTTGGTGCTTTTAATCGGTTTTCAGTTAAATTAATTCAATCCAACTCTATAACAGTCACAAAATGTCACCAAAATCACTCTGTCCCTCTAAAATCTTTCAGAAAATCGCAAAAGTATATTGAATTGTATCGTTTGCTGAATATCGCAATATATATCGTATCGTGAGCAGAATATCATGTATCGTATCATGAGATTAGTGCATCACTACAGCCCTAATGTGAGCCATATTCCAATTTTTCACAGCAGTCTGGACAGCCCAATTCTTTCCTACGGAGGTATTTTTGGTGCAAAAGTATTTGTACATTGTAACTCCGAAGTTGAAGTCCTATAGGAATTTTGTAATTGTAGATTTTTTTTCAGTCTTTCACAAATGCAAAGCCACAGTTTCATCTCTTCAGTTCGTAAGTGCAAGTACATAAATTGTATTCTTTGAGTCACACTGTAAAAAATCTTACACTTCCAGTTTTGCACCAAATGATCCAAAGCAAATGGTGCAAAACAAATCTGCATGCCTGTGTGGGAAAAATAATGTGAATATTTCTTTATCACTCACAGAAATAAAGTAAAATAGTTAGTTTGGATGTAAATATTTAACTTGCTAGCTAAATACTTAGCTTGCAGCTAAATAATCAGTTTGAAATGTTTGCTAGTTAAATATTTAGTTTATATGTTGAATATTTATCTCAACTATATTTTTAGCTTGTTATCCATTTAGTTTAGCTAAATATTTTTGTTTGTGAATGAATAACAGTGAAACAATGAAGCTCCTTTTACATCTTTTAACAGGCTAAATAACTTAACTTTAACTTTACAAACGTCTCCCCAGAGTTTAAAGGCTGGTGTTGACAGGTTCAGATGTGCAGGAGGATTTTTATTAGTTACTATTGTTAATCCATTATTTTTACTAGAAATTCTTTTGAGTCTCATGTCCTCTTAAAGTGACAAGTTTGCCATTTATTTTGCGACTCAAACAAAAAATGGGGGCTCGTCCGGGATATTTTAACCTAAATGCAGAGTACGTTTACCCATAACCCGTCATGCTATTTCAAATAAAATTTTCCAGGAAGTCAGTCAGACAGAGGATCTCTCCTTCAGAACCAGCTGACAAAACAACAGTCGCTTTATTGTTTATTGAACATTTTAAAACCCTTCCCTGGTGAACAACATCTTCCAACTGAATGCATTTCATTTCAAATATTAACAGAGCAGAAGCAGGTTAATGTAGCAGTAGGAGGCTAATAAAATGGGAAGAACCCGGCTGCAGCGTCGTCCACACACATGTACATATAAACATACCGAGAGCAAACATTCCTGTTCTGCTGGTCAATGTGTAGCGATCCAGGCAGAACATTTACAGGAGCTCAGAGGAACCAGAAGGTCGGGAGTATCTTTGGTAACAGAACCTCCTGCTGCCTGTAAACCGTTTCAGATTCGGTCCGCCGGTCTCCGTGCATTCAGGAGAACATGCAGCTCCAGAAAGGCGCAGCAGGTTTCCGGCTACAGCAGCTGGATCTCCCACTGCTGACTCGGCCTCTCGTCGTTTTCCGGCATCACCACCACATGCTCCTTATCGTACGTTCTGCCGCCTGCAGAGAACAGACAGCAGAGCTGAAGACGAGGAGGGACGGACGCTCCGAGGTGGAAACATGAAGACAAACCTGCTGGAGGTTTAACGCCTGGCAGCGAGAAAACTTTTCATCACATCAGATGAATAACGTCTGATCACTTCCAGCCAGACCTGCAGCAACTTTTCAGGCTGCAGTACAAGTTTCCTGTTTTACTTTTGATTCACTAAAGGTCCCTGATCCTCAGACATTCAAACCTGAAAACTACTGATGCAGGATGGCAAAAATACTGAGGATTTATAATAATTATAATATTATTCTGGAAACTGATCAGTTTATTCACTGGATTTAACAAGTTTCATCCTTAACTCACAAACACTCGTACTGCACACGAGTGGAAAGGGGCAGGGAGAGGAAAACAATCTGCCACTTTCTCAATAATTGCTACATTTTTATGGCCTTATATAGTAAATTAACTTACAATACAAGTTGCAAACCTTATCATTTTCGTCATTAATGATTAATTTAATTCAAGTTTTGGCCCATGAGTAGTTTATGTTGGATTGTATTGAAGACTGATGTAAAATAAAACTATTCCAAACTTAAACTGAAACATCAAAAGAGACAGACTTCTGTTTGAAAGTGCAATAAATAAACTCAAAATAAAATTAATTATTGGTCAAACCGATCAATACATTTCTCTGTGACATTGGATCTGTAGATCCAGAGGAGGTAGACAACCCAAAGTTTTCACTCAAGTAAGAGTAGCCATACTTCAGCGTGTTTTTACTCGCGTAAAAGGCAGCCGTCCAAGAAATTACTCCGAGTAAAAAAGTATTTGGTAAAAAGTCTACTTGAGTGACTGATCAAATGATCAATCATTTAATATTTAAAAACCATCAGATGGACCAAAATATATAGTTAAGTAGAAATTTTGGTATTTAGGGACCAAAATGACAATAATTCACTTAAGTAAAAAATAACTAAATCAGGCAAAATAAAAATTTTCCAAATCAGTTTCTTTCAATAAAAACTGATGAAACTTGAACAGAAACTGCAGGTGTGAGTCTGTCTGGTGGATTTTTGGTTAAAACATGTTTGTTTTTCATCCAGTGGGAAGAAAATCCAGAAATTTTACTCAAGTAAGAGCAGAAATACTTCATAATAAAATTATTCAAGTAAAAGTAAAGTACAGCGTAGTAAAAATACTCCGAAAAGTAACTTCTTCAAAACCGGTAGAGAAGTAAATGTAATTGAGTAAATGTAACTAGCTACTACCCGCTCTGCGTAGCTCCGACTCTGCCTGCCTCACCTTTAACGTCCAGCACCATTCCAGGGAACGTCAGGCTGCCAATCGGACCCTGCATCTTCGCCGACCAGTTCTGGATCGGCTGCCGGCTCTCGTTCCACAGAACCACCTTGGCTGCCGGTTCCACGCTGCCCATCACTTGCAGACACATGGAGGGAGAGAGCTGCAGCAGAGGCACAGAGTTCAGACTTCAGGAATGTCTTAAATCAGGTAACAGATATAATCTGAGATGTTTGTGAGCCTGCAGGACGCTCACCTTGTTTTTAATCCGTCCCTCCTGGTAGAACCAGATGTCGCTCAGCGGCTCCACCTCCGCTGCCGCCACCACCCGACCCGACTTCAGCTCCTCCACCCCGCCCTGCACCGACAGGAAGTGACCGCTCTCCTTGTTCTTCACCCGGAAAAAGTGACACTTCTGCAGGAGGAACACGTGCAGGTATGAGACGCGTATGGCAAGCCCATTTAACATAAAATCTGTTTTGTCTGACTATCTGTAATTACATTCCAGATATTTAAAAATGACAAGTACATTTTGACCATCCTTCATAGTAATTTAAAATATCTGACTGACATTATTTGATTTCAAGACATCTGCAATTTAATTTCCACCAACTGAATTTTATAGACATGGTGTCTAAAAAGACATTCAGGATATCTAGAGTTGGAATCAGGAATGATCACAACAAAAAGCAAGAAATCTTAAATGTACTTTATGACTAATCATAATTTAATTATTATATATGTTTCAGTTCGTCATTTATTGTAGGTGTCTTGACTTAAAGCCCCAGTACGACTTACTGGTAAATCTGATGTCATTTATACCAGTCAGATTGTATTTAGATTTAATTCACTAATATGTCTAATGATAAACCAGTATCATGTAAGTGTGGTGAAGCTCATTTTATGTTAAAACAGTTTGCCATAAGACACGCGTGAGGGTCATTTTTGGGTTTAATGATGGTTTATTAGTGAAAAGCAGAGACGTTTCTCCAGTTAGATCAAAGCGGTTTTTAGAAATGAAGAGCGAAGCAAAGTGAGCTGAGGTGGGCTGACCTGTCTGACGGGGTACATGGACCCGACCCGGTCCAGGGAGCTGAACTTGGGCCAGTTGGTGATTTCTATCGGCTCCAGGAGGAACTGGCGCCCCCTGTAGTTGCTATGCTCACATAAAACCCAACTGCACAACAAAAGGAGACCCGGTTAGATCTGCATGACACACACGCACTGCGACACACACACTGCGCCGCACTGACCAGCCGCTGTTGACCCGGACCGACAGGATGTGGTCGTTGAAGCCATCCTGGACCAGACTGGTGACCTCCGACTCGGTGGTGATCTCCCGGCCCTCCAGACCTTCGAGTCCGAACAGAGACACGGACGGCACCGACAGCGTCTGCACACACAGGAGGATGTTAGTGGGACGACTGGTAGAGCGCAGGGCTCTAACCGGGAGACGCTCCTCACCATCGGCACCAGCTTGATGGAGAGCACTGGGCAGCTGGAGGGGCAGCCCATACTGGTCAGATTGGGATAGTCCTCCTCAGATAGGACATGCATGTTCCCAGAAAACTGCTTATTCTCACAGAGGACCCAGCTGGAAGACAGAGAGACACCTTAATGCTGTCCATCACCATCCTCGCTGTCAGTCAATGGGAACTTTAAAGGCCAGTTTTATGTGTTTTCCAGGCTCCTGGTGCCATTTTATAGCACAATCAACTATGTTAAATTCAGTTGTTATAAAATTGCTGTATACTGAATATGACCTGAAAGAAAGAAAATGCACATTGTAACTAAACATCTTGAAATTGGGCATCTGTTTCTTTAAAAGCTCCTGCTCTTTCTGAAGCTCCGCCTCCAGGAAGTCTCCTCTTTTAACCCTTCAACGTTTCTTTTACCAGCGATACTCTGAGCAGCAGCTCCTATAACGAGCTCAGCAGGTGTTTGCTAAATGCTGCTGGCTAGTCTGAAGGAGCTGAGTGAATTTGTTTTTGATGAGGTAACAATTGAAAGATCATGATACTGGCCCTTTAAGAGGGAAACACTGAGTCTACAGCTATTCACTCTTTAGATTATTTAGCCTATTAAAATGTAATTGTAGCTTTTCCAGTTCATTCTCTGGGATGAACCAGCAGCCTGAACTCGATGCTCCGGTTAACTGTTGTCTTTCTCACCTTCCCCTCACCACTCGACACGACCTGGTGAGGAATTTCTCTGACAGCGCCCCCTGGCTGTGGTGAAAGACGAGGCATTCGCCCTGAAAGTCTGGTTCAGAGTACAGGATGATCTGGAGGAGAGGAGAATCGATTAGATCCTGGAGAGTCCGAAATGAGTGAAGAACCAGAAAGTTGCTGCAAAAAGGAGCAGATTTGCCCAAACACTAAAATATGGAGGAAATGAGGATTTTAAGGATTGTTTCTGTTGAAAATGTGTCGTTTAGTTCATTAATATTTCCATAGAGAACAGTTCCATCCTTTCATATTTGAACTGATAAAGTTGGTCACATAGAGCAGTTTAACTCTACAGCGTGTTCCCAGGAAACAGCTTTTATTTTGGTAGTCCACTTCCAGTTATCTGTGAATTTAAATTTTAGCTGAATATTTAGCTCTAAGCTAATTAGAGATGTAATTTAGGACTACATATTTAACTTGAAAATTAAATATGTAGTTTGAACCCAGATAATTAACTTAATAACTAAATATTTAGTTTACAATCTCCAACTAAATATTTATATTAGAAGCTAAATTATTTTGTAAATTTAAGTTTTAGCTTTTATTAGCTTGCTAACTAAATATTTAGCTCCATGATTCTGCTGGAGATAAATATTTAGTTTGGTAACTAAATATTTAGATCGGAGCTAAATATTTAGTTTATTTACTTCCCAATATGCGTTTTAACAACAAACCATTCCTGAAATGGAGATAAAACGGCCAGAAACACGCGACTCATCCTGGTTCTGATCCGAAGATGGACGTTGTCCACCACTCACCTCCTCTCTGGGGCCGGAGGATTCAGCTGGAGCCTGAAACACAACGACATAAGAGTGAAACCAGCGGCGCTGAGAGCGACCCGGTTCGCTGGACTGGTTCTCACCGGTAAGATGGGCTGGACCGAGCAGACCCGGGTGTCCTGGGAGCCCCAGTCAGCACAGTTGTTGTAGAAGCCTTTCTCTAGGATGTACTGGTTCCCTGAGAAGTCCACATGGGAGTAGGCGATCCACCTGGGGGTCAGAGAGTCAGGCCAGTCAGGTGACGGCCGAGTTCGGCGCCTACAGCTGCAGAAGAAGAACCTACGCTCCGCTGAGGACGTGGATCGAGCGGGTGGAGGTTTTATAGTCGAAGAGCTCCACGTCAGGGATGGCCTCCGTCACCTCGAAGGTCTTCTCCTCCGTCACGCCCTGCTCCTCCTCAGGCTGCTCGAACATCACCATCACCGGGTCCGTCAGGTCCTGGAAACAAGAAGTGGATTCTGAGCAGTTCCTCCTACACAGACGTTAAGATGGCCGACCGTATGGAAACAAGGGATGCAAGCAATCATGACTAGTTGTTTTCTATACTATAAACCATTATTCAACAACTAATCAGTTCCAATCAAATAATAATGTCTGCTTATACTCTTTTTCTCAGTGTTGCAATTTGGCATCCATCCAGCAGGAGGAGCTGCTGGCCATCCTAAAGCCGAACCAGTTAATGCAGAAACAAAGATGGCAGCCACACCAGAACGGGAAAGAGAAGCGGTCCCAGCGGAGTCTGGTGTGGAATGGAAAATGTTTTTTATCAGATTCTGTTTTGAAATGTAAACACTGAACAACATCCTGAAGTTTCACTGCAATGTTGCTCATCCAGCGGCGCAGCGTCAACAACTCCATCAGAAACTGCTCATCTGCTATGAAGGCAGACAGAAAAGAGGAGGGAATAACTGAAAAAAATTCAACCTGACGGAAAAAATGTAACATCAATGAGCAAGGCTGATTTTTAGGGCTGTTGTAAGTTAATGCACTTCATGGAGAAAAGTTTTAATTCTAGATCGACCACGGGCAGTACAATTATTTGATCCTTTTATATTTTTACCCAGCAACTCAAGAGGTTCCTGTGGTGTTGCATTTTAAATACGTCTAAGTTCAATCGTGAAAAAATAAATCACAATTTTCTGTTTATTCAGTCACTATTTAATACAGTTCACACAAAATTATGTTAAAATTAAAGGAAATGGTCACTTATCAATTAGTCATTAGTCGACCGGTAAGATTGATCAACTTTAGATGAACTCATCAGTCGATAACTTGGACCTACCGCCCGGATGATCCTGACGGAGCGCAGCTCGGAGTCGCAGCCCCCCCACACCCTCCAGTCGTGGTACTCGCCCTCCTCCAGCAGGTACTGGTGACCACGGAAACCTTCCTTCTCGTATCCCACCCAGCTGGAGCGGCAGAGGCAGACGGAGCTGGTCAGACTGGTCTAGGGTCAGATCTTACCACTTTCCATCAGCGCTTCACTCACATTCCTCCCAGGACCTTCAGGGAGCCCAGGCTGGCCATGAAGAGGTTCTGCTGGCGGTCCGTCCGGCTCATGAAGTCCCTCATGTTGGAGGAGATGGTCCTGGACTTCCCGGAGAAGTATGGCTTCTCGTAGATCACCATCTGAGGACAGAGAGGGACAGTCGGGATGCCGGCTGGCTGGAAGCTGCAGAATCTAACCAGACGCTGCTGCAGGTTCTCACCTTGGGTTCGCTCATGTTCTCCACCCGAGGTTCTCCCTGTCACAGAACCGAGCTCAGGTTATCATCGTCAGCAGCACAAGGCCGGGCTTCAGCAGGAGTACTCACCACTTTGAGGGGATGCACTGAGCCCACGTAGGGCTGCTCCACCCCCCAGGCCGCAGGGTTAGAGTAGCCCCCCACCTCCAGGATGCGAGGAACGCCCTGGAAGAAGGGCTGCGCGAAGACCAGCCAGCTGAGGAGCGGAACAACATCTGGGTTAGAACCCGTCACAAGACAGAAACCCACCTGTCCTCTCAGGGCGGCTCACTCACAGCCCGGCGTTCACGATGATGGAGTTGGCTTTGATGGGAAACCCGAAGATCCTGGCGTCCTCCGCCGTGTCCCGGAAAACCACCTTCTTCCCCTCCGCGTTCTCCTCTGGGAAGAGACCGATCTCTGGAACGCTGTAGTCCTGAGGAGACACATGGAGAAGATCTGACAGAGGTCACCAAACGCCCCACAGAGGTCACCCAGCGTCCCACAGAGGTCACCCAGCGTCCCACAGAGGGCACCCAACGTCCCACAGAGGGCACCCAGCGTCCCACAGAGGTCACCCAGCGTCCCACAGAGGTCAGAGAAGATGAACAAAGTTTGATGGAGATCAGAGAAGACGGAGAGTGTAAGCCAGGAGCCACAAGTAGGAAAATGTCTGAGAAGGTTCTAGTAGAACTGGGTTGATGAAGACTGCTTTTCAATTTTTTACCCCATTCTGACATTAAAACTTGTAATTCTGAGATTAAATTATTTTTTTATTCCTAGTGGAATAAAAATAATCCTCTTCCATATCGATTGGCTCAATAGTTCAGACGGTCACAGTTCCTTTAAATCTGCAGGCTCTGAATGGGGCCACTAGATGGTGCTAGTGAGAACCTGTCCTGCTCCCAGACTGACTGGAGTCATCAGACCAGAAGCTCACACACCTGCTCTTCCTCCTCCAAATGGGAAGAAAAACTCCCTGCTCCTCGCCTTACAGGTCTGAAAGGAAGCCATTCCAGCTACCTGCTCAGCTTTAGCCTGATGACCAGCAGATGGCGCTCTAGCCTGCAGCATCACCCCTCCGTGTCTGGGTGTTGAAAGGAGAAGTGAAGCCGTCTCACCCTGACCGCTCTGCGAATCGATCCGATGATGAACTTCTGGGTCGGTTTCTCCTCACTCTGCTCCTCTGTTTCTCTGTTCTTCTTCTCCTCTTCCTGTCCGTTCCGCAGCACCTCCTCAGGTGGGCTGAAGGGACAGGTGAGCTCCACGTCTCCCTCGTCCAGGGCGATCTTCTCCCCTTTAAAGTTGGGCTTTTCATAGAGAACCCACCTGCAGGAGAGCAGCCAGCTGTGAGAACGTGCTGCATGTCTGAGGTCAAAGGTTAACGTGTCAGTTGTCACTCCAGGATCAACGAGGGATCAGCTATGAACCGGCAGAGTAAAAATGAAGCGTGACAGGACCGAACATTCCTCCACCTGCTGGCTGAGTGACATGGAGACGCTCCACACCCACGGTTCAGCAGAAACGAGGCGTGCCGCATCCTCCATGTTTACACGCCACAAAGTTTGTGAATCAGGAGCCAAACGAGGCGCCGGAATGAGGAAGATGAGCAGCTTCATGGCATTTAATTATAGCCGATCATCTTTATGACTATCAACCTGATCTTTCAGATAAACTGTCTGAACCACCTGGGATTACCAGACGCCACACCGACCTGGATATGACAGAATATTATAGATTAATGTTATAGATGCAGAACCAAGAGATGTTCGAGTAAAATCTGAGAAATAATCGAATCTCTTCAGTTTCATCCCCCAGAAGCCTGAACCAATGCAGAGCCGTTTCATCCCAGACTAGATCATCCATCCATTTTCTGTACACACTTGTCCCTTAATTCAAGTTTAATAAACGTCCCTACGTTTGGACCCGTGTCGAACCCGTTTGGACCCGTGTGCTTGGTGGCGGCTCACCCTCCTCGGACCACCCTGATGGAGATGGTGTCCTGCAGCTCCCAGGACGTGGCGTCCATGACGTCTCCGCGGATCTCCATCCTGCGGCCGCACATTCCCGGCCGGTCGAAGATGTAAATCTGTTGAGAGGAGCAGAGGTCAGAGGTCATTTCCAGAGACTGTTCTGATCAGGCATTATGAGACCCGTCAGCGTTGGGAGAAGTCAGAAACTTTAATATCAAACAAGAAAAATCTGATCTAATACTAGTTTTAAAATAATGACTGTGAAAAGTATTCATTCCCGACCCGCTGCTGATAACTGGCAATGATTCCCCAACATCACCCTGGATGACCTTTGAACCGGTCTGCATTTAATTCAGACACATTGGAGAGTTGAAGGTCAGCATCTCAGTCAGATTTAGGCCCCGACTTTGACTAGGCCACTCCAGATCCTTTATTTCTGGCCATTTAAAGGCCGATTTGCTGGTGTTCCTTGGCTCATCGTCCTGCAGCCGTGATGAAGTCATGAACCTGCTGCTGATAGTGATTTTCTGTTTAGCAGTCAGTTGAAGTGACTTGGTGGGAAACAGCTGTGCTGGTGTTCAACTGCAGCAGCCTGCGTCGCAGCGGCAGCAGCATGCTCCAGCAGGCCTGATGCTTTAATAACAGAAACAGGTCCCGGCTCTGCGAGTGCTGTGGTTTTCAGCTGAAAATGATTTGGTTGAACCAGTTCTGATGAAGACCCGCCCCCCCACCTCCCCCACCCGGTGGGAAAGTCTCCCTCCTGACTGAAGCTAAAGGTCTGCAGGGAAAACATTTGATGGTTTTTTTCTGGAGTCAGAATCTGTGAAGTGGCCATCTTGTCTTCACCGTTCTGATCAGGACCGACCTTGGGTCGAGTTTATTCCACGTTTCCAGACGTTATTGTAATAATCTGGGTCATAAATTAAGAACAGAGCCATAAACTGCAGCCTGAAGAAACGCGTCCAGAGGAGACGAGGAGCTCACTCTGTTCTTTAACTACACCGCACCAGCTGTGGAGCCTGGTGGTGGCAGCATCATACTGTGGGCCTGCTTCACTGCCAGTGGTTCTGTCAAAAACTCCATAATGAGGTGAGGTCTTTAACTAGACCACAGACCAGCAGCTGGATGGTTGGACCCAGTTGGATGTTCTGGGCTGGACAAAGAACCTGAACTGGTTCAGTGACTGGGAGCCTGAACCTGAACCAGTTTAACCAGTTGGACTAACTGGTGGAACTCACCTTTCCTGGTCGCGGGTTCAGCTTCCCGTGTTCCTTCTCCTTGGTGAGCTGCAGACAAACAGAAACATTTCAGGACCAATCATCATCATCATCATCATCATCAGTTTGATCCGAACCACCTGAGCCTGGAAGAAGGTTCCTAAGGCTCAGCTGGAGCAGCAGGAGGATTTCTGGGTCCGATTTGTTCAGGTGAGAGGGTCCGGTGCCACTGGAATCGCGTTTCGGACCACGGAGGCTCGGCTCCGGTTTCAACTCTCGCTGCTCTGACTTCATCTGGATTAATCTGCAGACCTGAAGAGGCTGAGACGTTTTCATCCGTCATCCTCTGAAGTTCCTCTGGCTTCATGCTGAACACGTTCCTGCTCATGCATCACGCGGCGGCAGGAAGTGAAGCTGTAAAGCTGTTTCCTGGACCGAGCCGTCCATCAGAATCAACCTGCTGATGTTGGTAGAAAAACCGGATCTCAGCTGCTGACTGACAGACGGTCAGACAATGGAGCAGTTCCCTCCACATTCCTCGGTCTCACGGCTCGCTCGTCAGGACCCAAACTAACCAACCTGCTTCTGGTTCTGCTTCTGATCGGGTCCAGAGGATCAGCGCAGCAGCTTCAGAGCTGAAACCAGCAGAGCGAAGCTGCACCGCTCCCGCCTGCGGCCAGAGAAAGTGCTGCTTCAGCAGAACCGGGCGGACGGAGGTGTGATGAAGACACGTGGTTCCGGAGGAATTCTCTCCCTATCACCTCGTCTTCCACCTCGTCAAGCAGAGCAGAGGATGAATGCGAAGGAGAGGCGCGGCTGCGTCTCTGCAGGATCAGGCAGATAGCTGCTGCGGGTGTGGACGACTCTGACAATATTTATCTAGACCTGAAGCACGAAACGCTCTGCAGGATCCCAGCAGCTGCTTTACATTCTGATAACGGCCTTCCACTGCTGCATTCATAAAGCTGATCTCGCTGCAACATCCCAGTGTTTTCATATAATAGAGTGCAGATAATTTAATATTTCAGCAAAATCATGTGGAGACAAGAACCCAACGTGTCACAGACGTTCCCACAGGGTTTGATTTTTATTTTTTAAACAAAAAAACATTAGCCACTGAAAAGTTCAAGATGGTCCACAAGGATAATTTACTTCTTCACTACATTTGCAAACTTTTATTACTGATGAATACTTTGGTTGTCAAATTATGTACAATTGGACTCATAGGAACCATATTTACATTTTACATGCCGACGAGGGTTGTTTTGGAAAATAAATTTTTGTTCTGAAATCATAAATTAGATGAATGCGTCTGATGTCAAATTATAGCCTACATATTTTGAACCACAGAAAGTTTTTTTTCTTCTGGTGGGCATTGTTCAAAATGGCCACCATGGTTGTAACGGAGAACATATGTTTGACATGGTGATAGGCACAGCTAGCCAAAACGTTTGCTTAATGCCAAATTCACAGAAACCAACAATACACTGCTGAACATAAAGATTATTGGAAGCTAAAGCCAGATGCACTAAGTAAATTAGCAGAAGCTAACACTAAGCACATTAAAGAAATGAATGTGTCTGGGATCTGAAACTGGTTTGGGTTCCCAGTCCTAAACTGTCTTTAGTTTCTGATTTTGCTACGTATCATCACTTTAAAGTTGTATGAGCAGGATGGCCAAAGCAGGAAACATGATGTGACATGAAGTTAATCTAAATTATGAAAATGGGTGATATTTTATGGCAATAATTGGTTCAAAGCCTCAAAAAGGTCAGCCATCTTGAAAAATGGCAGTCATCTTGAAGTTCAAGTGGCTGATGGGAAATATGAAAAACATACAACCTGAATTTTTATACTTGTTTGGAGACTTGACAGAGTTTTACAGTAATATGCTGCTTTATGAACAGATTATCCATCAACCATGGAGCAGAACCTCCTACCTGTCCAAGTCCAACTGCAGAGCAGTTCTAGTCTGACCCGAGGGCAAGTTCTGCTCAGGTTCTGCTCAGGTTTGTGTTGCAGTGAAACTGCCCATCTCCAGTCAGGTGGGGTAACCATTACTGTCTGTTAAATGATTTTTGGATCAGAAGGTTCCTTCCTGGCCCCAGACGGACGCAGCAGGACGTGTGCAGACGTGTGCGCCACACGCAGACACACCTTCTGCTGCCTAATTACATCTGAGTTGCTCGGAGCAAAGAAGACGTTTGGATCAAGCTGCAGCCGTTTCTGGAACCTGTTTTTATATTTCTGTTTAACACAACAGAAGCATCCATAATAAGAGTCATAAACACAGACGGGAACAAACTGTTTACACCCAACGATGGACTTGATCCCATCCCACTGAGTGGTGATGTGAAGAGCTGAGAGATGTTTTAATCTGCAGAATGAAAGGATTGAGCTTCGGAAATTCACTGAAATCTGAAGCAGAGAGAGGCTTCACCTGCTTCTAACTTTCCTGTGCAGACCAATAATTCACATTCACTCATGCTGCAGTACTCACATAGGCGTCTGGGAAGGCTCGATACTTGGACATCAGGTTGCTGTCTGGTTCATCTCGCTGGTTCTGGAGCTGGGACCCTCTGTGAACGCTGTTGAATTGGGACCCTGCCTGAACGCTGCTAAGCTGTGGCCCTCCAGACAAACTGCTGAACTGTGGCCCTCCAGACAAACTGCTGAACTGTGGCCCTCCAGACAAACTGCTGAACAAGGATGCCTGTGATAGCCCCTCATAGCTGAGGCTCCTCTGTAGGCCCCTGGGCCCCTGGCTAAACAGGTGGGGCTCTGAAATGGTGGGGGCCCGGTGAGGGTCGATGGAGCCGGTGGGGCTGAGCAAATGGGTGGGGCTGTTGGAGGTGGGGGAGCCCAGGATCAAGGAGGATGATCGGCTGATCCTGGCGGGGCCGGCGTCTCCGTTCAGGGATGATGATGAGTTGACGAGGAAGGAGAGGCGCTCCAGACGGGACCCTGCTACGTCCCCAACAGGCCCCGCCTCACCAGTCTCCCACAGTCTCATTCCCAGGGTTCCTGTGTCCGGCAGGGAGCTGAACAGCGGCCGGTGGGCGGTCCCGTTTTCCAGCTTCAGGTCCGAGTTTGAGGAGCGGTAAGAGCCAAAGAGGACACTGTTGTCGAGGCGGGAGCCGGTGGTGGGAGACGAAGGAGTGCCGTTGCCGTTGTGCAGCGAGGAGGTCAGCTCCTGGGGAAGGAAGAGGACAAGGTCTGAGATCGGACCAGAAACAGTCCCAACATTTACCTCTGGACTCCAACCGCCTGTTAATCTAAAGTTTCCTGAGTTTTAGAGCAGGAATCCAGATCAGTTTCAGTCATTTTATCAAAGATTAACTCAGAGGTCTTCTGGTTCCACAGTCAAGGTGCTGCTATGGAGAAACTGTGATCGCCCCAACATTTGTGTTTAGTACATCGAACACTAAGTGGGAAATGATTATCGGTTCTCAGAGACCGAATGTGGATGAAAAGCTCTGTGACTCTGAAAAATGAAAAAGAGCAAAGCCTTCAAGGACTTTAAAGCAAATAAGAGCTTAAAATATATTCTAAAACAAACAGGAAGCCAATGTAAAGACGACAAGACGTGTGTAATGTGGTCCGGTCTGAAAGTGTTGGTTGAAAGCCACAAGGTGGAGGCAGTTCAACGATGTCTGGGGTACACCAACATCATAAAATCATTCAATTATTTAAGAAAGGTTTAACCTTCCTTAGAAGAAGACAAAAGTCTGGATTGGACAACAGATGCAATTTGATTGTCAAAGGCAACTCAAAGGTTTTTCACATGGTCACTATAGTAATAGTCAAATTTCCCAGACCAGTAGCAGCTTTGTCGACAAACAGGATCCACTCTGTTCTTTGGTCTTTAGGAACAGAAGGTTTTGGTTCAACCACTGTTTGGTTGCAGGGATACAAGGAAGGAGAGAAAGCAGAGGCTTACTGCATCCTGGCCTTATTGGTACGTAAATTTGTAGGTCGGCTGCAACATATGCAAAGAAAAAAGTAAAGGGCCCAATATGGAGCCCTGAGGTACCCCACACAAAAGACGGGTCGTAAAGTCAAAGCTCGGATATTTCCCACAGAACCAGATGGAAGCATCAGAAATGAGCCTCAGCTGGACAAACTGAGCAGACAGAGTTTGAGGAAGAGTATGGGGTACCTGACTCTTCATCAGCTCCATTGGGGAGCGGGCGTCTCTGGAGATGTTCCTCTTCAGGCCCAGGTCCAATGGCAGGGTGTACAGCTGGTTCTGGGGCTCCACTGTCCTCTGGGGGGTGCTACGGACAAAGGGACTCCCCGTGTCCTCTCTGATGGGGGACAGGGTGGAGATGACGGTGCTCCCCGTGTCCTCTCTGATGGGGGACAGGGTGGAGATGACGGGGCTCCCTGTGTCCTCTCTGATGGGGGACAGGGTGGAGATGACGGGGCTCCCTGTGTCCTCTCTGATGGGGGACAGGGTGGAGATGACGGTGCTCCCTGTGTCCTCTCTGATGGGGGACAGGGTGGAGATGACGGTGCTCCCTGTGTCCTCTCTGATGGGGGACAGGGTGGAGACCAGTGGAGGAGGAGTCGCTCGCACGCCGGTGCTCCGGGGCCTCTGAGAGGGCCCCATGCTTCTCAGGGTGTCCACCAGACTGTCCATGTCGTTGACGGGGGAGTCGACGTTGGGGGACGTTGGGGAGTCAGGAGAGGTTGGGGGGTCAGGGGTCAGGTCCACCAGGGTGGCCTTGAAGACTCCGGTGAAGAAGGAGTCGTTGTCTTCGGTGCTGCAGGAGGACGCAGAGAGCGGCTCCAGCTCCCACCTCGGCTTCCTCCACTCCGTCTCTCCTTTCAGCCGCTCGTCCTCTTTACCTGCAGGAGCAGCTGACTCCTCCCCCTCCAGCAGGCTCCGCCTCCACTCCCCGCCTCCAGCGGGGCTCAGGTACACAGAGCTGTCTGAGGAGCCGAAGTGTGAGGAAGGTTCATCGTCTTCAGGGAGGGGAGACCTGCTGGATTTAAACTGAGTCACGCCCTGAAAACGGTTCTTCCACTTGTACTCCGGTTCCGGATCGTCTGGCTCGGGCATGCTGCTGGTTTCCATGGTAACCAGGGACACTTTGTGGAAGCGAGGTTTGGGTTCCTCCTCTCTGGGAGGAGACGGGTTCTTCAGGGTCAGCGTGGTGCTCAGGCTGCTGTAGCCTGAACTCATCCTGTCGTCTGGTTCTGGTTCTGGTTCTGTAGGCTGGCAGCTGGAGGGACACAGAGAGAAAGGAAGTGATGACACAGTAATCACATGATGAGACTTGGGGACCAGTCCAGAGTTCCCCATTCAGAACCATTTCTATAAGGCTCGTGTTCTGCATCCTGACCCGGTCCGAGGAACAGGACCAGCAGGGAGCTGCAGCTGGGAGGATTGGTTAGATAAGCAAAACTCAGTCAGCTGACAGAACCGGGAAGCTCTGAGCAAACATCCCCTCCCACATGGGCCTCAGGAAGAACCCGCACGGAACCGGACCAGAATCTGAGCTCAGACTGTCACGACTGGATCTGTGGGAGGTTCTGTCTCCTCCTGTCAGGTTTCATTTCTCTTCTTCCTCAGAACCAACACCGTTTAGTTTGAGTTGGGTCCAAATGTTCTGACTCAGAACTTCTGGAAAACAAATGAAAATCTGTTGAAAAGTTTATTTTAGCCTGAATTTATCTTCATAAATTACTGAGCTGCAGGAACTGGCGGTTCTGACCCAAATGAGAACATTTTAAATGACTGAAAACATATTAAAATATTATAAAGTAAAAATGAATCAGATTTCTTGTATTTTGGGGGGGAAAGACAGAACCAAACAGGAGTTGGTCTCCAGTGGTTCTGGTTCTTTCCCAACAGAACCACCTCTCTGAACAGATGAAACCCCAGAGCTCCATCTCAGCCTCAGTTTAAGGTTAGAGGTCATGACCTCTTCTCTTCAGAAAGCCGAGGAGAAAGCTGAACAAGGAGGAGTGGACCTTTATTCCTCCACAGTGATGCAGGAGGTTCTACTTCCTGTTGGCTCTGATCACATAACATCATTAAAGCTTTTTTCTGTTTTCAGCCTGGCTTAATCAATTATTCTGACAATCAATTAATTAGATTTTTAAAAATTAGGGCATTCTGCAGATTTCTCATGACTTGAGCCGTTTTTATATACAAGAAATGCATCAAAAGATGATTGAAAAAATGAAAAAAAAGAAAAAAAAACATTTTATTGCCTAAAATGCAATAGCAGCTTTCCTTTGGTGGATAGTTTGCAGTAAAGGAATCATCTGTAAGTCTGTTCTGGGTGGAGCAGACTTACAGATTTTCATCTGAAATGATTTGTTGTATATTTATCGTAGAGTTCGGACTTCATATGTTCTTTTCTGTCTGTATTCTCCAGTTAATGATTAATCAATTACAAAATTGATTATAATATTGGGGCTGCACAGTGGTGCAGTCAGAAGGGTCTGAGTTAATTACAGTCAATTACATGACTGCAATTGGTGTGTGTGTGTGTGTGTGTGTGTGGTCGTTTGTCCCGTCTGTCTCTGTGTTGCCCTGCGATGGACTGATTGATCCGATTAATCATCTTCTGAATCAGAAGAAGTTTCTTGAGACGTTTCACCATGAAGCCAGCAGCTTCTGAACCTCTGTGATGCTTTCAGTGAAGCAGGTTTGGAGGATTAGAGGATGAAGGATCTCAGCTCCTGCAGTGAGGAGGAATGTGGACCAGGTGTGGCTCTGAATACCTTCTCATCATCCAGGCAGCTAAAGCATGAAGCTGTTGTTTCAGGTGCAAGGAGCCATATCGGGGTGGAGGGTCCGGATCAGAGTCAGAAAACAAGCAGAGGCTGAGGATTCGACTCTCAGCTTCATCCAACATGGAGGCAGAACCAGAACATCGGTTCTGGTCCGAACAGAACCCAGCCACAAGGAGAACCACAAGCTGCTTCCTGCAGAGTTTCTGAACGGTCTCAAGGCTGCAGCAGCACCAAATGCTGCCATCTAGTGGCTGCCAAACAAACTGCTCCTCTGAAGTCAAAATGCTGAATGATTTCATATGCACATTAGATTTTTGTTTTTTAGTCACAAATAAGTTTCTTAATGTTTCCCCTCATTTTTCTAAAAAACAAATGACGGCTTTTATTTACGTCATCCATTCTGTGAGTTGTTTCAGGGGTGGACTTACGAGAATAAAGTAATATTAGCAGAATAAGAACACAATTTTACCAGAAAAGAAAAATATCTTAAAGTCATGAGAAAAAAGCTTTGACGTGAGCAGCTCAGTTTGAGGAGCTGTTTCAGTAACGCTTTATTTGACGGCCATGTAGGACTGACATAAACATGGAGTCTGTTGTCGTGACGCATCATTCAGTAAAAAATGACACTTTTAAGCAAAATTGTTCTAGAAGTTGCTATTAAAATGCCAACTTTGCACTAAAGTGTTATTTGCAAAATAATACAAAGTTGGCACTTAACAGACATTCATAGACTCCCTTGTTTTCATGTCAGCCTTATGCACAGCCCGTCAAATAGTGTTTATTTCTTAGAAACAGTTATTTGCACGATTGTTTCAAAGTCTTGCTGCTGATAATTTGATGCTGTCAAAATATTAATTATTTCTATTAAGTATTAAGAATTATCTGTAAAACTTATACCAAAGTAAAAATGAACAAGATGCTCAAAATTCCTCATTTCAATTTTCTATTTTTTGTGTTCAAGTTCTCATAAAATATGACTTTATCCTGGCAATATAACGACCTTATTCCTCTAATATTATGTCTTTATTGTCATAATTCAAAAAGTAAAATTGTAACCTGGCCCTAACATTAGTTGTAGAGTTGACCTGAATTTAAAGTCCAAATAAATAAATAAAAGCTGGCATCTCTTGGAACTGTGGAAACACAAGGAGGGGTGGAAAAAAGTTAAACTTCTCAAAAACTTAAATCTTCAAAAATGTGATTAAATTAATTTATCGTTCTGTCACTCCTACTTTTCAGATTCTTTCCAGAGGTGCAACTTTGTGTTTTCTGATGTGTTCGTTGACACGTTACAGGCGTTTCTCTGTTAAATACAGAAAATGCTGACTAGCAGTCATTTTGATGGTGTTGTTTTGGCGCCCCTCTAACGCAGCGCCCCTACGGGTGCGTTCCCATTTCTGCTCTTCCCAGGAACATCCCGGCCCCTTCCTGACCTCCTCCTCCCCCAACCATCAACAGATCACCTGAAGGTAGATGTCGCTCTCTTTGTTGATTCTCTGAACAAAATGTCTCCCAGAATTCAGAAGCTTTATGAAAACATCAGAGCGGATAAACCGGACCGCTGGAGCTTCGGCCTCAGGGCATTTCATGACGTTTCACTGATTTATCGGGCCGTTAATGATCCCTACCGACTGATGGGTTTCAGTTTCAGGCCGAGAACAGAGACGTTTGAGTGGGTAGTCAAAGCGGACTCGGCCCTCAGCGGCTGTGGGAACCAGCGGGTCTTCCTGACAGCTGCCGCCCGGAGCCGCATTCCTTCAGCGGCGCGTCACTCAGCGCAGCTGTACTCCAAACTACATGCAAATGAGCTGCAGGTATGAGCGCATTTGGTAGAACAGCTGCAGCCATGAGGACTACGGTGTTCCTCATCCTGAAACATGGTTCCGACAGACGGAGCCGATCCGGAACCAGCACGGAGTTCAAACCGTAAAGTTGCGAAGGATGTTCAGGTTCCTCCATCTGCAGAGAAACCACCAAGGACTCTCAGACCCTCCTGCACCCAGAACCAGCTGGTAGGAAAATATACAGTGGCTGGTAGGAGAAGTATCACGGTCTGGGCTAGGATACCGTGATACTTCTGATGCACAAAGTCCAGACTCTAAAGCAACACCCGCTGCCTTCAGGGCCGCATCTTCTCCAGGAAAACCCACAACTTTTTCATCGAAATGATGGAAAAACACTTTATTGATGCTCCTCCTCATCAAAACAGCTTCAGGCAGAAACAGACGGATTTCCAGAAACAAAACAAACATTTTAATTTTTAATGATTTTCCTGATTTCAGTTTTCAGGGAAGAATCACCCTGCAGCCTGAATCTCGGATCAGAACCGGATTTTATGAACGAACCGTCATTAAAACCAAAACCCGACGCAGGTTCCTCAGACTGAGGCTGAACGTCATGTTCGGTTTTCGCAGTTTTATGTTTCAGCTGCTAATAAGCTGCTTGCTGCTCAGGTTTAGGTGCTTTCCCGCTGGTTAACAGAACCGGCCTGAGTCTGCTGAATGGATCAGACTCACCTGCGGTCCAGGTCAGCCGCGGCGCGGGCTGGATGCGGGTCGCCAGGCGGTCTGCGCGCGTCCAGAGCCGACGTCAGGTCTGGCACCTGTCGCTGCGTCGTTGTGGCTCCGTTAAAGCGGCGCGTCCTGGTCCCCGCCCCCTCGGGACGGCCGGCGGCGGAATCAGGACGCGTGAAGGTGCGCTCCTCTCCCTCCTCCTCCTCCTCCTCTCCTCGCGGCCGGACTCGCAGCTCCTCTCGGGTTTCCTCGGTTCTCCTGGGGTCAGAAACCAGAACCGGTCCCGGCAGGTTCGGAGCTTTCTGAGCGGGATCTTCGGTTTCTGCGGCCTGATTTCCCTCCACCGGCGCACCGACGGCGGGCGGGGCCGAGCCGCATTCCTGCAGCCTGTTTACCTGCGGAACCGGTGGCGCCGGCTCCTCCCACACTCTCACCTGTGCCGAGGCTGTTTCTGCTTTCGCTTCTGACCTCTGACCTCTGGGGGTCTCAACCTCCCCCCAGCCGTCCCGCAGGTCCGCCTCCTCTCCGCTCTCCGGGGTTTCCTCCGGGGCGCTGAAGTAAAGCTCCGCGCCGTCGTCCGAACCGACGCTCAGGTAGGCCGGACTCAGAGCCCGGTCCGGTTCGGGAGGTTCGGAGAAGTCCTGAACGTTCATTCCGTGATCCGGAGGCAAGCAGTCTGCTGCGATCTGCCGTCCGACCGGAACCAGTCTGCGTTCAGAGCCGGAAACCCGAGAGTCCGTCCCCGGAGACGCTGCGGTAACCGGAGAAGCGGGAACCAGGCCTCCGCTGTGGGAAGCGGTCCGAACCCGAATCACACGGCTCGGTTTGGTTTCAGCAGAACCGGAAAAACCTGCGCCGGGGTCAGGTGACACTAGAGGGAGGGTCTGGACCCCAGGCGGTTCTGGCTCTGGGACCCGGTCCGGAGACCGAACCAGAAAGAACCGAGGAGACAGAGACTTATACAGAGTTCCGAACACCGAATCCCGACCCGAACCGGGACCAGGGCTGTGCGGCGGCACCGCCGCGTCCGGTTCTGGATCAGAACTTGCAGCTGAGACAGCAGGTACCGCCGGGTCCAGTTCTGAAAGTTCAACTGGTACTTTCAGGTCCAGCTTACCTTCACCTGGTACCGTCGGTTTCGTTTCGGAGCTGCTCGGTTCCGGTTCTGGGATTGTAGAGAGCGTTAAAGCTTCTTCAGGTTCCGGTTCGCCCAGAGTTGAACCCGAGTCCCGCGTGGAGGAACCGGTCCGCTGCTCCAGAACCAAAGAACGGAGTCCTAAGGTACCGTGAGGTTCTGGAACCGGACTCGGACCATCAGAACCATCCCCTTTTCCCGATGCAGCGGATGACGTGAAGTTCTGGTCCGCACCTGGTTCTGCCTGATTGGACCGGAGGCCGGGAACAGCCGGGGCTTGTGTTCGGGCCGTCGGAACCGGAAACTCCGGGTTGGAGGCGATCAGAGTTCTGGAGGTTCTGTTGGAGAGAAGCTCCTCCGGTTCCGGTCGGGTTCTGGTTAACAACCCTGCAGTGAAGGAGGACGGTTCGGCCCGGTTGGAGGACGGGGGCGGAGGAGACGGGATGTTGAAGGTTCCACTGGTATCGAGTTCGGGTTGAGACAAACTGAACCGGGTCTTCGGGTCGGCCCGGTCCAGATCCAGGCGGGAGACGGTATTCTGAGGAGGGAGAGGTTCGGATTAAAACATCTAGAGGGAAACAGAACCAGAACCACAGAGTCCATCCCAGCAGAACCAGCCGTTCTGGACCAGAACCAGAACTTTCTGATTTTTTAAATCTAAAATTGTTTCTGTTTATTCAGAAAGTTCAGAACCACAGAAGCTCCAGGTTCTGTTCGGATGGACCTGAACCATCAGACCGGGTCAAGGTGTTACCTCCTCCTCTTCAGCCTGCTGGTTGCTATGGAGACCAAAGGCGCTCCTGGAGAGGTCCTCTTCATCCCTCCTCCTCCTCTTCCTCAGGCCGAAGGAGAACGAAGCAAAACGACGAGGAGACCTGAGATCCAAGTCCGAGTAACTGAAGAGACGGACCTGGAGGAGGAGAGGATGGAGGGATGAGAGGATGGAGGGAAGAGAGGAGGAGAGGATGGAGGGAAGAGAGGAGGAGAGGATGGAGGGATGAGAGGATGGAGGGATGAGAGGATGGAGGGAAGAGAGGAGAGGATGGAGGGATGAGAGGATGGAGGGAAGAGAGGATGAGAGGATGGAGGGAAGAGAGGAGGAGAGGATGGAGGGATGAGAGGATGGAGGGAAGAGAGGATGGAGGGAAGAGAGGAGGAGAGGATGGAGGGAAGAGAGGAGGAGAGGATGGAGGGATGAGAGGATGGAGGGATGAGAGGATGGAGGGAAGAGAGGATGGAGGGAAGAGAGGATGGAGGGAAGAGAGGAGAGGATGGAGGGATGAGAGGAGGGGGGGAAGAGGGGAGGAGGGGGGGGAGGGAGGAGGGGAGGGGGGGG